AGGGGGGGCGGACAGGGGGTGTAGAGCAGCGGCGGATTTGCGAGAAGAGCCCAGCAACAACAATCGGGCCTGTTGTCGTCCCGCCGGCCTGCCGGGGCAATCCTGCTCTGTCTGTGGTTCCGCTGCTCTGAAAGCGGCAATAAAAATAACTCGGCCGCTCAGCGCCAGATGAGGTCATTTCAATGCTACATTACAACAAAGATTGCGCTAACTCCTCCCCGTCGTTTGATCTCACTCATGCGCCCTGATTTGATACGATTTCATCGTTGCCAATAATTGGCAACATGGCAATTCAAACCATGTTCCCAAGTCCAAAAACAAGTCATTTTGTACCGATGAGATTTATTCCTCATGCACAGGGTGAAAACAAACAGGAGATATTACAGTTCGAATAACAGCCACACAAGGGCACTCTAATTGCCCCCCCCTCCTGCCCCCCATCAGCGAACAGCATCTCTTTATTATTTGAATAAGGTCAAACGCTTGGCTGGCTGTGCTGGAGGCTGCTCATGCAAAGAGGACAATTCAGCTCCAAGGATGGAGCTGCAGCCAGCGGGGAAAGGTCGAGGGAGTGACCTTTCCTCTAATTGCAGGACTTAGCATCACATATACAGTATGCGGAAGGATCACGGAATCTTGTTTTTTGCACGAAAATGACTCGAATGTCGTCCGATATTGTGATCTCAGCCTGAGGAAACGTCGAGAAGCTTTGCGAGCAGCTTTTTCGAGCAGCGTGAGGCAACAGGTGACTGCATGGGAGCCGCTCGCAAGTGAAAGTGCCGCATGCTCCGCTGCCCTTTTGTTGTCCGGAAATTTGCCGGCTGCGGTGAGGATTGCCCCTCCTCGGGCGGCCCTGGGCAGGGGGGGTGGCTCGGAGTGAAAGGCAGTGGAATATAGGCTGCGAGGAATAAAAACAAAACCACTCGTGCTTTAATGTTGTCAGCTCGTACGCATCAGACACGCATGTGAGTCGTAGAAAGCCAAGAAACTGGATAGCGCCGGAAGAAACGACAAATCATTTTATGCTTTCATTCGATGTCAAGGAAAACAAGTTGTAGCTTGGCAAGAATACAACGCGCGGCTGGAAATGGGAGATAACTCAGAACGTGATTCAAGGTGTCCCCAAAAACGTCACCGGTTGAAGCACGAGCTGCCGATAATCGGCTACGCTTCAGAAATTATGAACGGACACACTCCAAGCATCCACATAATAACTATGTTCAAGTTTTTCTTTTTAGTTGAAAACGGCTTACCTTAACCTATAATTCCACGTTGCATTGCAGCCAAAGGTACAATCCTGATGGGTGAATGCACCTTTCGGTGCTGTGGAACCGAGAACTCGTTCCCATGACGACCGCTCTTCTTCTTTGTCTTCTAAATGGAATACCAAGACCGGCAGCTAGCCGGCGTTTCCTCCACAAGGACTTAAGAACGTTGGCGTTGATTCTTCGTTTTACATTTTAAGAGTTCAATTTATGAGAGTGTAACAAGTGCTTAGAAGGGGCGGAAACTGTGTCTGTGGGTTCGTAGCGGCTTCCTGGAAAAGTGGCAATGCCTGTGTTTTACTTTCTGGGTGGCTCAAAAAGTTGCGGCAAAGCGGCACCTGTTTTGGTGGAACGGCCATTCGGGAGAAGTTGGAGTGTCCTGGCTGTGCGGGAGAAGGTTGTTTTGGAGGCTTTTGGAGATTCCTTGCTAGGGAAGGCTGTTGAGCTGCTGGGCCTGCATCATCATTAACAAGCCGACAGACACAGGA